TATTGAATCCCTTATGATTTTTCTTTCCTGTTTATCTTTTTGTGCTTCTCTTGAGTCTTGTATTTGAAAGTGAGATTTCTGTTTGGCTCTGGTCTGTTCATCAGGAATGCTTCAAAATCCTCTGTTTCATTAATGTCCATTTTTTTCACTTGAAGTATTATACTCAGTTTTGCTGAGTAGGTGATTCTTGATTGTAATCGTTGCTCCTTTGCCCTCCACAGTGTCGTATTCTAAGCAGTCTTGACTGTGGCTCTGTGATACTTGAATTGTTTCTTTCTGGTTGCTTGCAATATTTTCTCCTTGACCTGGGGGCTCTGGAATTTGGCTGTAATACTCCTGGGAGTTTCCATTTTGGGATCTCTTTCAAGAGGTGATCAGTGGACTCTTTCAGTTTTTATTTCACCGTCTGGTTCTAGGATATCAGGCCACTTTTCCTTGATAATTTCTTGAAAGGTGATATTCAGGCTGTCTTTTTTGATCATGGCTTTCAGGTAGTGTAGTAATTCTTAAATTATCTTTCCTGGATCTGTTTTCCAGGTCAGTTTTTCCAGTGAGATATTTTTGTTTGTTTGTTTTTTAAGGCAATTGGGGTCAAGTGACTTGCCCAGGGTCACACAGCTAGTGTCAAGTGTTTGGTCTGGGGCTGGATTTGAACTCAGGTCCTCCTGACTTCAGGGCCAGTGCTGTATCCACTGCGCCACCTAGCTGCCCCCCAGTGAGATATTTTACAATGTAAAGTTTCTTGATGTCTCATGGAGTCATTAGCTTCTAATTCTAATTTTTAAGGAATTATTTTCTTCATTGAGTTTTTGTACCTCTTTTAATTTGGCCAATTCTACTTTTTAAGGAGTTCTTTTCTTCAGTGAATTTTTGTACAATGGCCAGTTGTTTTTGAGGAGTCTCTTCAGTGAATTTGTGTGTGTGTGTGTGTGTGTAAATATATGTGTGTATATATATATATATATATATAGGTATATTCCCCCCCAATTTGGCAAATTCTGCTTTTTAAGGAGTTATTCTCTGTGCTGCCTTTTGTGTCTCTTTTGCCATTTGACCTATTCTGTTTTTTAAAGTAGTATTTTCTTCAGTATTTTTTTGTGTGCCTCTTTTACCAAGCTGTTGTCTTTTTTTTTTTCTTCATGATTTTCTTGCATCACTGGCATTTCTTTTCCCAATTTTTCCTCTACCTCTCTTATTTGCTTTTCAAAATCTTTGTTGAGCTCATCCAACAATTCTTTTTGGGCCTGAGACCAATCCACATTTTTCTTTGAGACTTTGCGTGTAGTAGTTTTGACTTTGTTGTCTTCTTCTTGGTTTATTTTGATCTTCCCTGTCACCATATAAGTTTCCATGGTCAGGTTCTTTTTTTGTGTTTATTTTTCTGTTTCTTGACTTTTGCCTTTATGTCAGAATTAGTCTCTGCTCTGGGGGTGAAGGAGGCACTATCCCAAGTTTTGGGTTTTACATGCAGCTGTTTTCATAGGTTGTTCTGGGAGTCTGTAAGTTTTCAGTTCTTCCAAGGTGGTATGATCTGAGGAGAAGTATGTTTACTCTTTTGGTCTGTGAGCACCCACAAGCACTTTTTTTTAAAAAATAATTTATTTTGGTTTATCAATAATCACTTCCATAAGCTTTTGAATTTTAAATTTTTCTTCCCCTCCCACTCTACCTCCTTCCCCAACATGGAGTGCAATCTGATGTAGGCTATACATATACATTCCTATTAAACATATTTTCACATTAGTGATGTTGTAGGTAAGAATTAGAACCAATAGGAGGAACCACCAGAAAGGAGAAACAAAGCAAAACAAGGAAAAAAATAGCAAATAGTATGCTTCAATCTGCATTCAAACTTCATAGTTCTTTCTTTGGATATGAATAGCATTTTCCATCATGAGGCCTTTGGAGATGTCTTAGATCCTTGTGTTGCTAAGAAGGGTTAAGTCTATCAATATTAGTCATCGCACAACGTGGCTGTTACTATGTACAATGGTCTCCTGGTTCTGCTTACTTCACTCAGCATCAGTCCATGTAAGTCTTTCCAGGTTTTTCTGAAGTCTGCCTTTTCATCATTTCTTACAGCACAATAGTATTCCATTACATTCATATACCACAACTTGTTCAGCCATTCCCAGTTAATGGGCATCCTCTCAATTTCTAATTCTTTGCCACCACAAAAAGAACTGCTATAAATATTTTTGTACATGTGGGTCCTTTTCCCATTTGTGTGATCTCTTTGAGATACAGCCCTGGAAGTGCTCCTGCTGTGTCAAAGGGAGTGCACATTTTTATAATCCTTTGGGCATAGTTCCAAATTGCTCTCCAAAATGGTTGGATCATTTCACAACTCCACCAACAATGCATTAGTGTTCCAGTTTTCCCACATCTTCTCCAACATTTATCATTTTCCTGTTTTGTCGTGTTGGCCAATCTGATAGATGTGATATGGTCATAAGCCCTCTTTTGCCCTGGAATTGTTACCAGGGGCCTCACTCCCCTCTAGCCACAAGCTGTGGTATGCTAATACTCTTCCTCACCTTGGGACTGTGACCCAGATCCATGCATGGGCAATGCAACAGAGTTCTGCCTCCAGTGCCAGCAAAGAGACCCATGTAATCTCCTTTTGACCAGTTGTCTGACCCCTTTACTGTCTGTGGACTGAGAGCTCCAGAGGCTGCTGCTGATTCAGGTGTTCTGCCAAGTTCTGCTGCTGCTCACTTAGATGCTATCTGCTGCTGGCTTGCTGGGGTGTTGCCTGCATTGGACTGTGGTCTACTCTCACCCCAGTGAGACAGCCCTTTCCTGCTTACTTTCTGAGTTGTCTTGAATTGAAAAATTGTTTCACCCTTCTCTTTTGTGGGTTCTGCCAGTCGAGAATTTGTTTTGAGGTATTATTCAAAGTTACTTGGAGGGGAATTTGGGAGAGCTCAAGTGAGTCCCTGCCTTTGTCTCCTTGGCTCTGCCCCTCAGAGAATGAAATTCTTTGGATATGCTGTGCATTTTTTCAGAAATAGGATTTGCACCTTAGCAGTTCCTCTGCTTGCCTGCTGCTCTTGTAATTTAAAGAACTTGACCTTTGATTGCTACAACAATAAGATATGCTGGCTTCCTTGTTTTATACGTTAGGAAATATCTGGTTTATGTAAAACTACTAAATTCTTTAGTAGGATTTATTGAAAAACCAAATTTGTAACCTAATTAAGGAAAGTGCACTGCTTAAATATCTCCACTTCTCAAAATAATAAATTATGGACCCAGTCCTTTTAATGACAGCTGTTCATACTCCTTTGTGCAAAATGGCTAAGATGGATACCATTTTTAAAAAGATATAAAAGATACTAAGGAAACACTTTCTTACAATCAACCAAGTGTCGAGTGCCCACTTTAGACAGAAAAGAAGTTGTATAAGTTATAATTCTTTTCAGTATCATAGAATCATAGATTCAGAGCGAGAAAAAGATGCCATATAGGCTGTGTAATCCAACCTTTTCATGTTACAAACAAGGATCCTCAGAGGCCTCGAGAGATTGTGAATTTCTTATTGCCACACAGCTAGTAAATAACTGAGCCAAGATTTGAGCTAGGTTCTCTTGATTCCAAATCCAGTACTTCCCATGCTATGTTAAAAGACAAGATTCCTCTGCTTCCCAAAATAGATCTTTTATTCATTCACTCAGGAGTTAATGCCCATAAGGTACCATGCCAAATACAAAGTTGAATAAAAATGGAGCAGATGAGATGTACAGATGTTTTACACAATGAATTATGAGGTAGGTAGGTTGCAATGTAATTAGAGTGAACTAAGCCCTAGAAAGAGTCATGGATCATTATCATGACTAGAGCTGAGAGGATGTCAGAAATTATGTGGGCTATTCCCCTTATTCTACAGTTAAAGGAAATTAATCCCCAAAAGATCAGGTGACTAGCCTGCAGTTATATAGACACTTCTCAATTTACATAAATTCACATTGCACAGACACACAGAGAGAACACTGCTACTGGATCCTAGATTGAGGGCTTGACTTGAGACCTGCAGTGCCAAGAAAGGAGACTTTTGTCCAACTGTGCCCACCCACCTGCATGTCTGGCCCCTATATGTCTGTCTTCTGGCCATTTGTTCTCAGGTACCTCATATCTGACCCTGGCCCCTGCATGTTGTCCATCCTCTCTCTCTGTTCATTTCATCCCTCCATACATCCCCCCCCCCACATGTTCTTCTTAATTCCAACCAGGTGACCCCCACATGGCTGGCCATGGCCCCCATATATCCTTGAACTATGTGCCAGCCCCTTCCCTCCATAGGCATGCAGTTTCCTTCCTTCTTTTCTCCCTCCCTCCCTTCCCCACATAAGTGGGCAAATTTGCTTTACATAAAAATTACATAGAGGTCTGTGAAACGGTCTCCTTAGTAAAGTGAGAACTGTCTGTACTTACGTACTAAATGACAGAGCTGAAATTTGACATCAGGTTCCATAAATCCATGTTTAGCATGCTCTTAATCTTTACCCTGTGCCTTAAGCTGCCTCACTAATCATTTCTGATTTGGGGTGCTTAGGGAAGACATCATTGAAGAGAGGTAGCAATGCATGCAAGTGGAACCTTTGAAAGGAAGAATGTGGTGGATATTCTGTGGGAACTTTATAATCTGAAAGAAAAATAACTTACAGTTTTCAGTTCCTTTGCTGAAATTTTATATCAGAATGTCTAATACAACATCATTTAGTAGCTACTAGCAGCTACTAGCTTCTGCTTAAATGTTTTCTTTTGGGGGTAGTTTTTTGGTACTGGTTAGTGCTCATTGTGTGACCATTAGCACTATTGGTAGATATCATATGACACTTGATGTGTAGGAATTGAAAGTAATGCTGAGAGATCACTGAACTCAATATTCTATTAAACACACATCAGACATACTTCTAAGAGTTCATTGTTCACAAAGAACTGACATCTCAAATATATGTATCAATGTCTTCTAATGGCAAAATGTTTTGATTTGGCAGCCATATTTTCTGCACTGAAGAATCTTCAAGAGAAGATTCGACGTTTAGAGCTTGAACGGATTCAGGCAGAAGAAAGTGTGAAAACCTTGTCTAGAGAAACAAGTGAATACAAGAAAGTGCTGGACGAACAAATACAAGAAAGGGAGAACTCAAGGAATGAAGAGTCAAGACACAATCAAGGTTTGTTTAACTACGAAGATAGTAATGAACATCATAGGTGGTGATTGGAAAGTTATTCCAAGGGCTTGCTTTAAAGGTCTTGACAAAATTCTGCAGAACTTTAGTAGTTATTGGTGTTCCAGTTTTATATAGGTATTCTGAAATTATAATGAACCCAGGTATATTTTGTTTATCAAGGATTTAGGATGCTAAGATTGTATTGTTAAACAGTTGCCACCTTATTGCAATGTAGGATTGATAAGACGACAACTGATGACTTGAGGTAATTTGGAAACAGCTTTCTAGTGGCACTGGGGACCTTCTTAGTATTTAGGATGATAGGAACTACAGTTTGATTACTAATATTTAAACTGCATAAAGACAGGTGGGCTAATACCCAGTTTTTCTTTTGTTCTCTTTAGAACTGACGTCCCAGTTGTTAGCTGCAGAAAGCAAATGTAATCTTTTAGAAAAACAATTGGAATACATGAGAGACATGATAAAGCATGCTAAAAATGAGAGGACAACTGTCTTGGAAAAACAGGTACGGCCATGTGCTGTTCTAAATGTGTACAGGTGTTAAGTTGTAAAGTAGTTGACACTAATTTCTTTTTTCCCTAAAGAAAATTAATAGTATTATTTTTGTGACGTTCATGCTTTCTTTTGAATGGTTGTTGTCTTGAGTCCTTCATTCTTTTTTTGTGGGGGAGGGGTTTGGGCAATGGGGTTAAGTGACTTGCCCAGGGTCACACAGCTAGTAAGTGTTATGTGTCTGAGGCCGAATTTGAACTCAGGTCCTCCTGAATCCAGGGCTGGTGCTCTATCCACTGCGCTACCTAGCTGCCCCCCCTAGTCCTTCATTCTTGAAGAGGACCATGATGTCAGGAAGGTGATGCCCTGACATGCAAGCAAATTGGATTTAAGTGAGGGAGGGCTGTGCAAAGTCACCAGCCTCACTCTTTCCTCCTGAGCCATCTGGGTTCAGTGGTGAGATGTAGGACAGGATGACTGGAGATGGCCCTGGATGCAGTGGGAGACCTTGGCCTTTTAAAGCTAACCTTTTTAAGGTCTTTGACAGATGTCAGTTTGACTGAGGCAGTACCTGTTCGGTGATTGAATAGGTAAGAAATGAGGCAGAGAATGGCTTCTTTACCTAGGTAAAAAAAAAAAAAAACAAACTGGGAAGGAAGGAAAGACCCTCAGGGTTTCTGGCCAAGTTGCTATTTACATTTACTCTGAGCAAACCAGGGCCCAAACAATGACCAAATGGGGCTTGGCCTGGGACCTATTATTGGCCAATCTATGAGTGATTTGGCTTTAAGGTGGTCCTTAAGGAAAGAAAAAAAGTTTCAAGGATCAAAATTTACATTCCTTTGGGCAGAGTACCCCAAGGTAAGGGTGTGATACCTTATGTGGACAGAGGGAAGGGATTTGAACTTTTGAACAGTAGCAATAAAAGGAAAGAGAATCTTGGAGACGGAAGTCTTAATTTTAGTTTTCATGCATTCAACAAACATTTGAGTGCCTGCTATGGACATTTATAGCACATTTCTAGATGCTATGAAGACTATCCCAGCTCTTAGCACAGGGACACTGTGTTAAAGTAAGTGCTTAATAAATTCTTCTTAAAAATTATAGGTAAGTAATGAGTGTAACACACATAGGATTTAAGAACATCACTGTTCTGAGAACATGTAGAAAAACAAGCAAACATTACCGGTTTGAAAGAAGAGAAGGATCTCTGTAGACTAGAATGATGAAGGAAAATTTCATGGAACTTGGGCTTGAATTAGTGAAAAGCAGGTAGAGAAGACAACAGAGGGAGCACACAGTATAGGCATCAAAGCAGAATTGAGTGTGGCATGTTACAGGAACATGGAGAAACTATTTTGGTTAAAATGGAATGTTTAGTTTGGGGACTATAGGGAAACTAGATTAGGACCAGATTATGGAGACCCTTGTATGCTTAACTGAGAAATTTTACTTAAATCCAGTGCATTATGAAAGTTAGACTAAAGAGTTCAGTTTTTATTCAGTGTATTAATGACAAACACTTATTAAGCACTTGTAGTGCTCAAACACTGAAGGATATACAAAGAAGTGATTCTTGCTCTTAAAATTAAAATCTAGTAAGAGGGACTTAAGACATCTGTAAATAATTTAAAATATCGTAAATGAATACTTGAAATAAGTAATAAATATTTATAGTAAGATATGATAAAACTAAGAATTTTTAGGAAGGAGAGACTTTTTGTTGGAAATAATAGCTTCATGGAGGGAAGGGGCAGTTGAGTTTGGCCTTGAAAAATAAGTAAAATTTAAGTAGTCATTTCAAGTTGTGGAATGGTAAAGAAAGGGTATTTTAAGTAAATGGAATGGCATGAGCAAAAGTACAAGTGCAATTTAAATTAAGGAGCAACCATTTCTTTAGAACAGTATTCTTTTCTGTATTCCACAGATCGTATGGGCTTGCAGTTTACTTTGTTCTTCTCTAATTCTTGAAAATGTCTCACAATCATTTCTCTTCCCTCCCAGTCTTAAGACATTATTATTTCTTTCACTACTGCCTATAAAACACATTAAAGGATATGAAATAACTAAGGAAGAACTGCTAGCTCTCACTCTATTATCTTCAATCTACCTTCTCTAATACATGTTTCTATACATATTTTTGTACATGGGAGTTTTTTTTAGCTCTGTCTTTGACCTCTATAGGGGATATGTTTATAATAGTAGTATTCTTTTGGTGTCAAATTTATACACAGTTTAGTGACTTTTGGGTTACAATTCCAAACTGTTTTCCAGAATGATAGCAGAACCACAGATCTACCAAGAAAACATTAGTGTCCCTGTTTCTTCCACAGTTGCTCCAACAAGTATTCTTTTCCTTTTTTGTCATTTTTGCCAATCTAATGAATAGAAGGTTCTATCTCAGAATTGTTCAAATTTGCAGTTCTCTTATTGTGATATGGAACATTTTTCATGTGGCTGATAAATTTTGTAATTCTTCTTTTGAAAACTCCCTGTTCGTATTTGATTATTTCCATTCAGAGTCTTTGACCATTTATCTATTAGAGAATGGTTTTTGTTCTTACATATTTATTTCAATTCCCCATGTATCTTGAATATCTGACCTTTATCAAGGAACTTGCTACAAAGATTTCACACACACACACACACACACACACACACACACTAACTATATACTTTCTAACTGAACTGATTTTGTTTGTGCAAAAATATTTCGGTTTCATGTTACTAGAATTGCCTGTTTTGGATAATTGTCCCAAAATTGAATGGTCATAAGAAAGTACTTAATTTCCAGAGTAGCTCTCTTTTTATGGGTCGTCTTATCTAGGTAATAATACTGTTATTTCCTTTTGTGTGTATACAGAATTTACATTCTTTGCGGTTAATCCATGTCTTGTTTTATGCTTGTTTGTATTCCAAGTTCTTAACATAGTGCCTTGTAATTGTAGGTACCTGCTCAATAAATGTTGATGGTGAAACTAGTTAATTTTCTAAGATTATGTGGAAAAATATTCATGTGAATTCCAGTGAAGTACATGTTTTGAAACAAAACTAATTAGGTCAGTGTCACAGAGTGGTGGATGTTTTGATTTTTGTTTTAATGGGTTTAGTGATGTGTAGAATATACTAAATATACTGAAAGAAGGGAATGTACATTCAGTAACTATTCATTAAGCCTGTTCTCTCTAAGAGAGCCTATAAATGATCATCCCAAATTGAGGATACTTCTGTTAAGAGTTGACTTGGGGAGAGAAGACATTCTGTGTTGGTTAAATTGTAAGTTTCCCCATGATTCAGATTCCGCAAGCATTTATTAGTCACCTGCTATGTGCCAGGCAATATGCGCTTGTTCTTTCTCTCTCTCTCTCTCTCTCTCTCTCCCTCCCTCCCTCTCTCTCTCTCTCTCTCTCTCTCTCTCTGATGCTGGTGTTATCCTTAGACTAAAACATTTCTGGATTCAAGTCCTTAACTCTGATACATGTAAACATGGATGAGTGTCTACAGTCATTTCACCATACTCTCATGTACATATTTACATACACACAAATAATACTTGTATAGACACACAAAGAAAGAAAACTACAGAGATCAATCATCTGGGTCAGAATTGAGGGTACAAGTCTACATTCAGACCACTGCAATCAACATGAAATACTTGAATAATTCCAGCATAAGATATAATGGCATACAGATTCTACACAGTACTGAGGAATCCAGAGTATGAAAAGGATCACCTGTTGTGGGATTCAAGACTTCACTCATCATACCTAAAATGCTAGTTATGTCTAGAGCCCTGTGCAAGAAGATTTTATGGGGATACATTTTGCTTTAGATCTCAAAGAAAGTGTAGGAATTATGTAGTAAGTTTACATTCGCAGTAGGAAGTTGTTCCAAGAGAAAGGGATAAAATGAGCAAATCAAATCTATAAATGTAGGAGTGGAGTAGTATGTGTATGACATGGTAGAGACCAGCCTGGCATGAGGAAAGTTGGAGAATAATGAGAAATTACGTTGAAAAGGCAAGGGTAGAGTTAATAGATTTAAGACTAGTTCTAGGAAGTTGGATTTAATTTATTAAATAATGGGCATTGCCACTGAAAGGAACTCGAAGAATGGAACAATTTGATTTTTTTGAACCCGGTATTTCAGGAAGATTAGTGACAGCAGCTGTTCAGATAGCTCTATAGACCAGTGGTATAAAACTCAAAATGTAACTAAACTGGACATAAGGATTTCTGCAGGCCTCATGATGATTTAGTTTTAAAATGTAGTGTTTGGGGGGGGGCAGGGTGGAGCCAAGATGGCACAGTAAAAGCAGTGAGTTGCTTGAGCTCTCCCCCAAACCGTTCCAAATACCTGTAAAAAATGGCTCTAAACAAATTCTAGAGCAGCAGAACCCACAAAAAGACAGAGTGAAACAAATTTCCAGCCCAAGACAACTTGGATGGTTGATTGGAAAGATCTGTTGTGCTGGGCTGGGAGAGGAGCATAGTTCCGGGCTTCAGTGAACCTAGAGCAGTCCTCAGGGGATTGAATCAAGGGGAGCTGTGGCGGTTTCCAGACTTCTCAACCCACAAACACGAAAGACAGCTTAGAAGGCCAGTAGGAAAGTTTTGTCAGATCATGGTGAGAGAAGAGCTCCATCTAGCCCCAGTCCAGGTGCAGCCCTGGGGCAGTGACTGCTTCCAGAGCTCTCAACCCACAGACAGAGGGGAAATTGAGTGGCTGATCAGAGGAGGATTGCAGGGATCTCTTTGCTGGTGCTGAGGCAAGATTCTCTTGCTTTGCCTGTGCTTAGATCTGGGTCACAGTCCTAGATGGTGGTCCTGGGGCGAGAAGGAGCACTGGCATGGTAGAACTTGTGGTAGTGGTGGAGAGGGAATCTTCCTCACAGTTCTAAGGCAGAAAAAGAGTACTTGTGGTCACTCATAGACCAGAGTACAGGCCAGGAAAGGAGTAAACACCTCACCTTTGATTGTACCACCTTGGAAGAACGGAAAATTTACAGGTCCCTAGAAATATCTCTGAAAACAGCTACATAAAACCCCTGAAGCTTGGGATAGTACACCCTCCACCCTGGAAGCAGACCCCTACCTTAACAAAGAGTTTAATAGTCAAGTAATTGGCTGGGATCATGAGCAAACAGCGCAAGAAAGTCAGACCATAGAATCTTACTTTGGTGACAAGATCAAAACATACAACCAGAAGAAGACAACAAAGTCAAAACTCTACATCCAAGGCCTTCAAGAAAAATATGAATCAGTCCCAGGACATGGAAGAACTCAAAAAGGATTTTGAGAAGCAGTAAGAGAAGTAGAGGAAAAACTGGGAAGAGAAATGAGAGTGATGCAAGAAAATCATGCAAGTCAACAGCTTGTTAAAGGAGACCCAAAAAAATACTGAAGAAAATAACACCTTTAATAATAGACTAACCCAAATGGCAAAAGAGGTCCAAAAAGCCAATGAGGAGAAGAATGTCTTAAAAAGCAGAATTGGCCAAATGGAAAAGGAAGTCCAAAAGCTCAATAAAGAAAATGCTTCCTTAAAAATTAGAATGGCATAAATGGAAGCTAGTGACTTTATGAGAAATCAGGACATTGTAAAACAAAACTAAAAGAATGAAAAAATAGATGACAATGGAAAAACACCTGACCTGGAAAATAGATCCAGGAGAGAGAACTTAAAAATTATTGGACTATCTGAAAGCCATGATCAAAAAAAGAGCCTAGACATCATCTTTCAAGAAATGATCAAGGAAAACTGCCCTCATATTCTAGAACCAGAGGGTAAAATAGAAATGGAAGGAATCCATTGATCACCTCCTGAAAGAGATCCCCAAAGGAAAACCCCTAGAATATTGTAACCAAATTCCAGAGTTCCCAGATCAAGGAGAATATATTGCAAGCAGCCAGAAAGAAACAATTCAAGTATTGTGGAAACACAGTCAGGGTAACACAAGTTTAGCAGCTTCTACATTAAGGGATTGAAGGGCTTGGAATATAATATTCTGGAGGTCAAAGGAGATAGGATTACAACCAAGAATCACCTGAGTATAATCGTTTAGGGAAAAAAACATTCAGTGAAATAGAGGACTTTCAAGCATACTTAATGAAAAAACCAGAGCTGAATAGAAGATTTGACTTTCAAATACATGACTCAAGAGAAGCATGAAAAGGTAAACAGGAAAGAGAAATCATAAAGGACTTTTTAAAGTTGAACTATTTGCATTCCTGCATGGGGAAATGATATTGGTAACTCATGAGACCTTTGTCAGTATGAGGGTAGTTGGAGGGAAAACAATTATATGTATAGATAGATAGGTAGATAGGGGGCGCAGGGTGAGTTGAAGATGAAGGGATGATATCTAAAAAATAAAATTAAGGGGTGAGAGAGGATTATACTGGGAGAAGGAGAAAGGGAGAGGTAGAATGGAGTAGATTATCTCACATAAAACGGACAAGAAAAAGCTTTTACAGTGGAGGGGAAGTGGGGGAAAGGTGAGAGGGAATGAGTGGATCTTATTCTCATTGGATTTGGCTTAAGGAGGGAATAACATACACTCAATTGGGTATGGACATCTATCTTACCCTATGGGAAAAGGGGATAAGAGAGTAGTCGGATGATAGAAGGGAGAGAAGATTGGGGGAGGGGGTAATCAGAAACAAACACTTCTGAGGAGGGACAGGGTTAAAAGAGAGAATAGAATCAACGGGTGGCGGGATAGGATAAAGGGAAATAGTTTTTCACAACGTGACTACTATGGAAGTATTTTGCGTGACTACACGTGGATAACTTGTGTTGAGTTGCTTGCCTTAATGAGGGTGAATGAGGAGAGAGGAAGGAAGAAAATTTGGAACCCAAAGTTTTAAAAACATATGTTAAAAATTGTTTTGACATGCAACTGAGAAATAAGAAATACAGGCAATGGGGTATAGAAATCTATCCTGCCCTACAGGAAAATAGAAGGGGAAGGGGATAAGAGAAGGGGGGCAGTGTTGATAGAAGGGAGGGCAGATTAGGGGAAGGGGTATTCAGAATGCATGCCGTCTTGGGGTGCGGAGAGGGGTGAGATGAGAAAATTTGGAACTCAAAATCTTGTGGAAGTGAATGTTGAAAACTAAAAATAAAGAAATGGTTTTAAAAAATTTTTAAATGTAATGTTTTTATATTTTATTGCATTTTTACTTATTTTATATAATATTTCCCAGTTACATTTTAATCTGGTTTGGGCAGCACTAGGGAGTATTGTGGGCTGCCTGTTTGACCTCTGCTTTAGAAAGTCATAAAAGTATTTCAACTTAAAAGATAGAATATTGTTTTAATCAGTTTTATGAGGCTTCCAATTAAAATTATTGTACAGTTTTAAAGGGAAAAGTTATCTAAGCCTGTTTTCTCATTTTACAGACAGGAATCTCAGGCCTAGAGAGGCAAAATCACTTACTTATCTTAGCTTGCAGGATGAATAAGTAGAGCTGGAACTGGATTCTCCTGATTCCAAATATAGAATTTTTTCCATTATGCCACACTGACTGCCAAATTACATTTAAAAGAATGCCTCTTTATATGAGATGGGTGTTGTTTATACATTTAAGTACTTTCTGAAGATGATTCTTAAAGACCATCTTAGGACCATTTTTCACCTTCTTCCACTTTGCTTACTGCCTTAAAACCAACTAAAAACAAAATTATTCTTTCTTCTCACTTGCTACCTTGAGAGCCTTTCCTAATTCCCCTAGTTGTTAGCACCCTCCCTCTTCCAAATTGCTTGGTATTTACTTTGTGCATTTCGTGTTTGCCTGGCCTTGTAAATATGTTGTCTCCTAGTGGAATGTAAGGTTCTTAAAGCCAATGACTGTCATCCCCAATACTTAAGCACAGTGCCTGCCTCATAATAGGGATTTAGTAAATACTTGTTGAGTCGATCTAATCTCTTTTGGAAGCAATCTCTTCAAACCTCTTTTTCCGTCCTAAAAACTTAGCATGAAAAAGAGGTTATATATTTCTTTCAAATATGATTGTGTGAAGAATAATAACCAAAATAAAAATGTCCTTGAGATATTGACTTATGTGGAGCGAAACTATTGAAAGCATATGTCCTATACTATTTTTTGTTAAGTAATTGATTTAAGATACATCATAGCACCGTTTATCCTGGCCCACCTATCCACCTATCAGGACATAGAAATAACCTTGGTCTGTGGAGCAGGTTTTCAATAAAGATGGCATTCTACCATTATGCCATAATGTGTTAAATGAAGTCCGCATTTTTCATCTTGTTACTGATTGTTTACCTAGAGTTAAAATTATCTTTGAATTAGAAATTTATAGTTACCTTTTACTAACCAGGAGATTAACATGCATTGTATTTTATAAAACATTCACATACATTTCTTTCTGTGTTTTGATGGTCACATTTTCAATTTTATTTAGTCTTTGTTTTTCTGACTTTCTTTTCCAGAATTCAATAGAGAGAGACCAGCAGCAGGGTCAAATGCATTTTGAGAACCAACTTGAAAAACTGGATATACTTGAGCAGGAGTATAACAAACTTACTGCCATGCAGACTCTTGCAGAGGTCAGCAAATGACTTAATATTCATTAGGATAAAATTTCCTTGTTTGCAGTAGGGTATTACTGAGTATTCTTCTCTAACCAAAGGGATGTAAAGGATCTTAGTAGAAGGAAATGCTCAGGCATAGGAAAATTGAAAAATAATTTTGTAACCCTAGTTTAGGATTTACTTTCTAAGACCATTTGGAGAAACCCTTTTTTTTTTTTTTTTAGCACATTTTAAAGTTGATACTTGAAAAAATATAACATAAGACTTTCCCTGTTTTGTTTTTTAATTGCTTATTGCCAATAAATACTGAGATCCCAGGTTCTTGGCTTTATATCAACCACATATTTACCTTTACACAGAAAAATTGTCTGTTTCTTAATTACAAGCTGTACTCATAGCCCTATCCAGCCTTACACAGATGCCTGCCATTGATCATAAAGAAAGAGTATAGAGAGATCAAGGCAAACCCTTCCATCACTACTAAAAAGAAATAATAAAAACAAACATCCTACTGAATAGTAATGGGTCATCTCTTATCACCTTTGTGTATTAAAATTTTAATATTGGTGGGTAGCAGGAAGGAGATTCATTTTCTTGCTTCATTATTAATCCTTTTGTACTTATTAATAGAAAAAAATGCAGGAACTGGAATCAAAACTCCGTGAAGAAGAACAGGAAAGAAAACGTATGCAGGAAAAAGCAGCACAGGTATCTAAAGTTTAAAAAAAAAAAAAAGTAGATTCTACTCTTCTTTGTTTAAAAATCATATTATGTACACATGTAGTTAAACGATAAAATGTTTGCCTTTTACATGTTAATCTACAAGTGCTTACAACTTATCGAAAAGACACTAGAATGTCTCCTAGGGGCATTGAGTTAAATTACTAGAATCATAACATACTAAAAACAGCCTAATGTAGATTGTTGTGGAAATGTTATGTGCAGAGGCACAGTATGAAATTCAGGTCATCTTTTGCCTAATTAGACCATAAAGAATGATTAGTTGACTTTTTAATTTATAGTATCAATAGTTGTCAGAAATAAAGAGGTAGTTATACTTTAATAGCCATGCTGAAACACTGCTTTGGCATGTACTTATAAATAGCTCTTGCTGAAATATAGCTTTGTTTCAGGTTTGTCCCTTTAAATATGCCAATTAGTAACAAAGTGACCATCATTTTTTAGGCACTGTCTTTAAAGCAAATCATGCCATCCAACTAGTCTTTCAAGCTTTTCCTCGGTAACATTTTTGGATGTACTTGATGGTTGCTGAGATTTCAAACTCTTCTTCAATAACAGGATTTTTTAAGAACATTTTCAGATTTTGGGGGGAGTTTTTTTGCTTTTTGGTGAGGCAGTTGGGGATAAGTGACTTGCCCAAGGTCACGCAGCTAGTGAGTGTAATGTGTCTGAGGTCGGATTTGCACTCAGGTCCTTCTGACTCCAAGGCTGGAGCTCTATCCACTGCGCCACCTAGCAGCCACAACATTTTCAGATTTTTAAAGAATTTTCCAGGGCCCTTCTTGAGCCATCTTCCAGCCCTTCTTGGATTTGCTGTCCTCGGATGTCTGAGTTATTAAAATGTTATCTTCATCCTTCATAGGACCATAAAAATTTTACAGGGAGTAATTTTCTGACAAGCCTTTTAAGAACATGGCCAGAATCTACCTCTGGGCAAAGGAAAGCTGGCTGCATAAGAAATTGGCCCTAAGAGCAGTCTGTCTCATCCATCTCAACCAACTCCTTGCCATCTTTTTGGTTTCACCTGGATCTGGGGTTGAGCCTAGACAAACTCAGCAACCATATTTAGCCAGAGTTCCTAAAGGTCTTGAACCAGTGACTTACAGTTTACTTAGAGAGCTGTTCTATTTCAGATATGAAGCTACAGTATCCTACCTTTTTTCTTTTTTTTTTCCTCACCCCATTTTAAAAAAAATCATTTTCAACCTAAACACCAAAGGAAGTATTTACGTAGTATAGTAGAACACAAAGGAGGATTGTATATGAAACCATAAGCCATTTTAAGTATATAATAAATTCAACACATTACTTTCAGAGCAGTCCTGCTTGTCTATGCATCCTTCTGTTCATTTTTTTAAATGTTTCAATGACACAGTCTTAGCTTTTTTTGGAAGGACATCACTATTGTTGATTGCTGCCCCTCCTCCTGCTCCCCACACAAACATTTCCCATCTATCCTTCACATTACAAAAGAAAAAAACACACTTTTAACAAGTTTAAGTGAAACAAATCTATACAGGGAGTAAACAAGCATTTGTTAATCACTTATGATGTTCCAGGCACCATGCTAAGCTTTACAAATATTATTTCATTCAGTCCTCACAACAGCCCTGTGAGATAGGTGCTGTTATTATCACCATTTTACGGTTGAGGAAACTGAAGCAAAAAGCAGTTAAGTGACTTGCCCGGGATCTCACAGTAAGAGTCTGTGACCGGATTTGAATTCAGATTTTTCTTATTCTAGTTGCAGTGCTCTGTCCACTGCACCACCTAGCTAGGTTAGGGGCCTTTCTGAAAATGATTGTGTCATTCTGTACCTTGAGGTGGCACCTCTTTGTCAGGATGATAGGTGGCATGCTTCATCATCATCTGGATTCATGTTTGATCATCGCAATGACCAAAGATCTTAAGTCTTTCAAAGTAGTTTTTCTTCACCATGTTGCAGTTGTCGTAGTTCTCTTAGTCCTGCTCGCTTGACTTTGTACCAGCTTATACAAATTTTCTCAAGATTCTCTGAAAACATCTTTCATCATTTCCTACAAGGCAATGATATTCCATTACATTTATATACTGTGTTAAGAGATTTTTGGTAACTTTGGAGAGTGCAATTTCAGTTGAATGATAAGGTCACAATAGGCAAGACTGCAGAGAGTAAAGAAGAGAATCAGAGGAAGGGAAATGGAGGTATTAATTATAGACAACCTTCTCAAGAAGTTTATCCACAAAAGAGAGGAGAGATATGAGGTGGTAGCTAGCAGGGGTATATGATCAGGGGAGGGTTTTGAGGATGGAAAGACATGGGTGTATTTGTAGGCAGTTGGGAATTAACCAGGAGATGGGGAAAGATTGAAGATAATTGAGAATAATAGAGGTGATAGTGGGGGCAGTCTGTTGAAAAAGATGGAATAGAACAGGATCACTTGTATATGTAGAAGATTTCACCTTGACAAGAAGGGCCATCTCTTCTTTTGCTAGTCTGAAGATCCTTCTTAGTAATGAAAATGGAAGCCAAAAAGGATAGTTTCATTATCTCATGCACCTCAAACAGTAGTACTATCCCCTCTTTGATATTTTCTTTGCCGCCAGCTTAGCTTAGACACCCCTTTTTGTTGTTCCTAACAGTATCTCAAGCATCAGTTAACCATTTTCATTGTAAAGCCCTCTAAATCATATTAAGTCTTCAGATATATTATCCTCACCTCATTCAGATGTAAACCATATCTGGCCAGGAATGCATCTTTCTTATATTTTAAATTATGGTCCAGAAATTTAACTCTCTTCTTCCAACACCAACTTCTTAGCCGATTGTTCACTTCCTGTATCCTACTTTCAGTTCTGAAATACCTTCTTTAAATCTGCATGAGTGAATAAAACAACCACCTGTGTCCATAAATCCTTCAGTTCCTGATCTTGATTTTCAGTCTTTAATGAGTCTTTACAGATTCCTCGTGGCAGTATCAGTAGTTAATTTCTGCATGATTAAAAAAGTGTCGTAGCCCACAGATGTTCAAGTTTTATGAGATTATCTTTCACCACCCAAAGGACACCTGGAGAAAATAACACACTTCATGACTGCTCATGTTAAGCCAACTTTTGGCTTCCTTGGTACCTTTGACCTACCAGGAAGGGTTTCTGTTTTTCCTTGGGTTGGTAGTGAATGTTCTCAATCTCACTGTTGTCTGTGGATCCCTCTTCATCCTTCCAAGAAGAAAGAGAACGCTGCTTTATCCTCAGATTGTCCTGACGCTCATTCTTTTGGGAAGAACCTTGTATGCGTTAGCTCTAGCTGCTTAGAGACCCTTCTTCAATTTAGTCAAAAAAACATTAAGTGCCTACTCTTGGCAGAACTCTCCTTGATTTTCTCACTGTCAATTCTTTCACCTTCCATCCTTTTTCTTACTACCCCTAGTTTGGACTTCCTCTCTCTCTTTAGATTTCTTTTTTTTTGTTTTCTCTTGAATCATTTTATCTGATCCTTCTCTCTCTTCCGTTCCCCTCTCGTGCTGTGCCCTGCCCCCAATTGTTTTATTTTTACTTATGTATCCCCAGCACCTTGCATACATAGTATGCAAGTGTAGCAGATGGAGTGAGTACTCCGTCTCCCTGATAAACTCGAAAGTATTCTTCTAAACTCTTTATCTTCTCTAACAGGAAGACCAGTTTTCACTTAGTGCATATATACTCATTGATTACCTGTAGCACACTGCCAGTGCATTTGCCTGTTGGCTGGTAGAATTATTTCATCACTTTTTTTTTAACTTAGTTTAATTATTTTTTAACTTTGATTGTATTATAATGGGAAATATCCCTCACTGACAGCAACTTAGATTGTCTTAAGGGAATTGCCCTGAGTAGTGAAAGTGACTTGCCCTTACAGGATTTGAACCAGGCTTTCCTGATTCCAATCCTGATCCCAATTCTGTTCATGTACATGCTGCCTTCTCATATCTTCTATCCTTCAGAAATTAAGATCCTGTTTTTCTGTGGCTGTACCCTCACCTTAATATACTGATAGCCCAGGTGTACTCAATGTTTGTGAACCAAGGAGCCCTAACTTTGATAGGTCACCAAGTGCTCTTTTGAACTTTCTTCCCAACCTAATCTTCCAGGTATAATTGAGTAATGATTTTAACAATGTCCTAATTAATTGAAGATTGTAATCTTGATACAAACAGTGGCCTAAATGAAAGGTTGTCTTGGGAAAGCCCTACTGGAAGATTTCTAAATTTGATCATATCAACCATTGTCCTCTTTTCCTGCTTGCTGCCTGTTTGCTATGCACATAATTAACGGTCTTCATAATTATATGGAATTTTAAAGAGAGGAAGACATTTCTTTTGTATTCATAGGAAAGAGAAAATGCTCAAACATATGTTTGGAGTTAATGTAGTTCTTATTTCAAAAATCAGTTTGATCAAAGGAACTGCAACTAAAAATAACACAAGTGAAGTTATCCATGTCTAAAATAGTAAGAGGGGCAGCTAGGTGGTGCAGTGGATAGAGCACCGGCCCTGGATTCAGGAGGACCTGAGTTCAAGTCCAGCCTCAGACACATACCACTTACTAGCTATGTGACCCTGGGCAAGTCACTTAACCCCCATTGCCCAACCAAAAAAAAATTAAATTAAATTAAAAAGTAAGAAAAAAAGAGTAGATAATAAAACAATACTGACAATTAAGAATAAGATGCTGAACATATATAACTGTTTTGTAGGTTTATAATATGTTAGCGTAATTATGGCTTTGATCCATTTTAGTAGATGATTCTGATGATTCTTTTTCATTGTCATATATTGTCACTGGCTTTTCTAGTTTTGGTTGGCAAGTCTGAGATTTGTATGATATTTCCTACTTTTCTTTATAAAATAACTAGCCTTTTATATTTCATAGTTGCAGACTGGAATAGAAACAAATAGACAGTTGTTTGAGGAAAAGATACCATCTTATTCTACCAATGTAAGAAGAATGAAGAAAAAGAAAACAAAACAGCCAGACAAGGTAATGTGGAGCCTTATTTGTCCTTTTTTTTTTAATTAATGTTTTAATTAATTAATTTTTAGTTTTCAGCATTCACTTCCATAAGCTTTTGAATTCTAAATTTTCTCCCCTTTCCACCTCCCCAAGACAGTGTCCAATCTTATGTAGGCTCTACATGTACATTCATATTAAACATATTTTCACATTAGTCGTGTTGTAAAGAATTAGAACCAATGGGAGGAACCACGAGAAAGAAGAAACAAACAAACAAAAAAAGCAAAACAGTATGCTTTGATCTGCATTCAGACTCCATAGTTCTTTTTGTGGATGTGGATAGCGTTTTCCATCGTGAATCTTTTGAAATTGTCTTAGATCCTTGCATTGCTGAGAAGAGCTAAGTCTATCAAAGTTAGTCATCACACAATGTGACTGTTACTGTGTACAGTGTTCTTCTGGTTCCATTCACTTCACTCAGCATCAGTTCATGTAAATCTTTCCAGGTTTTTCCTGAAATCTGCTTGCTTATCATTTCTTATAGAACAATAGCATTCCATTACATTCATATACCACAACTTGTTCAGCCATTCCCCAGTTGATAGGCATCCCCTCAATTTCTAATTCGTGGCCACCACAAAAAGAGATGCTTAAATATTTTTGTGTATGTAGGTTTTTTTCCCTTTTTTATGATTTCTTTGCAGTACAGACCTGGAAGTAGTATTGCTGGGTCAAAGGTATGCACAGTTTTATAGCTCTTTGGGCATAGTTCCAAATTGCTCTCCACAATGGCTAGATAAGTTCACAACTTCACCAACATTTATCATTTTCCTGTTTTGTCATGTTAGCCAATCTGATAGATGTGGTGTCATACCTCAAGAGTTGTTTTGATTTGCATTTCTCTAATCAATAGTGATTTGGAGCGTTTTTTCATATTAGTCCTTGTTTTTTAAAAAGTATGTTTTTATTCATGTTGTTTTTATATTAGCACAATTTCTCCCAGTATTCTTCCTCTTCTCAGAGCACAATTTCCCCTCAGTATTCTTCCTCATCCCATATAACAAATAGTATTTTTTTTTAAAGATAAAGAAAAAGAAGAAATAAAATAAAAGTAAGAAAATAATATGCAATGTACATCATTTGTGTACCTCTCCTGTCTCTGCCCAGTTTATGGGCAGTGGGACTAGTTTTATTTCCAGTTTTTTGCTACCACAAAAAGTGTTGCTATTAATATTTTTGTATATTTGGGAACTTATCAATGGCCTCTAAGTATAACCCTAGTAATGGAATCATTGGATGAAAGGATATGGGCGTTTAGTCACTGTATTTGCATAATTCCAGATTGCTTTCCAGAATGATCCTGCTGATTCATAGCTCCACCAGCAATGCACTGGTGTGCCTGTCTTCCTACAACCCCTCCAATACTGACTGTTTACATCTTTTGTTATCTTTGCTTTTTAGGGTGTGAGGAGAAACTTCAGAGTTGTTTTAACTTGCATTTCACTTATGATTAGTGATTTGAAGCATTTTCTCATATGGTTGTTAATAGTTCACAATTCTTCTTTTGAGAACTTTGTTCATATCTTTTGATCACATATATTGGTCTTGTGTGTGTGTGTGTGTGTGTGTGTGTGTTTGTGTGAATTGTTTATATATCTTGGATACTGAACCTTTATCAGAGAAATTTGATGCAAAGATTTTTTTTTCATTCAAGTACTTCTTCCCTTCTTTTTCTAGGCACATTAATTTTGTTGGTATAAAAGCTTTTCAATTTAACGTAATAAAACGTTTTGTTTTGTTTTGTTTTTTGTTTTAAATTTTCTGTAATTTTCTCTATCCCTAGTTTGGTTATATCTTGTATCTATAGCTAGAAACATAATGATCTGGACAGAATCAAGATGGAGAATTTGTAGGAATCAATACAGTCAAACTCCCCTCCACTCTTCCAAATAGATATAGAAAATGAACCAGAGGGGAATGTAGGTGGCACTGCGGATAGAGCACCGGCCCTGGAGTCAGGAGGACCCGAGTTCAAATCCAGCCTCAGACACATAACACTCACCAGCTGTGTGACTCTGGCAAGTCACTTAACCCTAATTGCCTCACCGAAAAAAAAATAGAAAGAAAAGAAAATGAACCAGGCCAAATCCTTATGGGGAAATTTAAAAAAAGGTCACAGTAGGTCATTTGTCTTCCCTAGCTCAGCTTAAGGAGAGCAGGCATAGAGGTTTTTCAGCACTAAGAATTGGTAGAACTAGGAGCATGCTACATAATGGAATACTCCATTTTCCAGGAAGAGGTAGTACACCAGGGCAAGAAGACTTCCCAGACTCATAATGGGCAGCTGGACATGGACAAGTGCCAGCTGGCAGCTCTCTTCCCACTGCCCAGTTGCTGGTTCACAGATTGAGAACAGAGTGAGAAGGAAACTTGTACGTAGGGGTGGCATTCTTGGAGAGAGAGGCCCTGGCCAGTGTACCAAGAAAGGATGAAGTTCAGGGACAGGTGTCAACGGTGTGCCTCAGACCCTAGAATCACAGTAAGATCTCAGTTCCTGCATCCATCCCAGCCTGCACAGGAATGAGTAAGGCAGGAATTAATGACAGGAGAGGAGCTTACAGTTCTGTTATTCTGAACCAGCAGAGCTTTTCAGCTGGCTTAAAGGGCCGAGTTCAACAGCAGAATACTCTTGCTCAGACCCTGATTCAGGTCAGGAACTTGCAGAACTCAGACAAGGTAGACAGTGATAAGATTTTGTCCAGCATCAGCCCAGTTTGGGGTGTACTGAAAGCTTGTAGGTCCTCAGTCCGTCCCTTAGATCTTAGAATGACACAAACCTCAATACCCCAAGAAAACAGCAACAGAACCAACCCAGACCCTTCCTCCAGAAGCGTGGCAGAGCCTAGCCCCAACATCACATCTGAGATCGTGAAGTAGGCTATGTTTACAATGAGTAAACAAAAAGAACCCCATATGATGAACTGTGATGGTTACAGGGATACTCAAGATACAAACACAAAAAAAGAATTACTCTGAAACATTTACAAGCAAAGTTTCAAAAAAAACCAAAAACTGCAGTTTGAGCACAAACTCAACCAGAATTCCTAGAAGAGCTAAAGCACGATTTCTTTAAAAATGTATTTATAAATGAAATAAAAGAACTTTAGGAAAAAATTGGAAAAGAAATTAAAAGCAATGGAAGAAATCATTGGAAAGGGAACCAACATCTTGGCCAAGAAGTACAAAACTTTGTCCAAGCAGCAAATTCCCAGAAAATTAGAGTGGAACAAATAGACGCCAAGGACTCTGAAATAAGAAGAAATATTAAAACAAAGTTCCAAAAGACTGGGGGAAAAAAATGCATGCTATTTCATAGCAAAAAAAAAAAAAGTACCTGGAAAACTGATTGAGGAGGAAAAAATTGATAATCATTAAGCTCTCTGAGTACCATGACCATAAAAAGAACTTAGACATGATATTTTAAAAAATCTTGAAAGAAAATTACCCAATTCTTTTAGATCCAGAAAGCAAAGTAGACAGAGAAAGGATCTACTAGTCATTTCCTGAAAGAAACCTCAAAATAGAAATTCCAAATTCAGAGTTTCCAAGTTAAAGAAAAGATACTGCAAAGAATTTAAGTACCAAGAGTTCACAGTTAGAATCACACATGACTCAGCAACCACCACCATGAAGGAGCAAAGAACTTGAAATAAAATATTCTTGAAGGCAAAGAATATAGGCTTACAGCCAAGAATAACTTACGCAGTAAAACTGAATGTAATGTGACAGGGAGAAAAATAGATCTTCAATGAAATAGAAGCCTGCCAAGCATTCTTTTTTTTTTTTTTAAATTATTATTCACTGATTCACTTATTTAGTAGAGGCAATCAGGGTTAATTGACTTGACCAGGGTCACACAGCTAGTAAATGTAGATTTTTAACTTGGGTCTTCCTGACTCCAGGGCTGGTACTCTATCCACTGTGCCAGCTGGCAGCCCCATTCATTTATTTTTAACTTTTTTTTTTTTAAATTTCAGTTTTGAATTCTCTCCCTCTGCCTTTCCCCCACCCATTGAGAAGGCAAAAAATGCACTATCAATTATATTTGTGAAATCATGCAAAACATATTTCTATATTAGCCAAGTTGCCAAAAAAAAGGGGGGGGGTGTAAAAAGTTATGCTTCAGTCTGCACTCAGATTTCATCAGTTCTCTCTCTGAAGGTGGCTAGCATTTTTTATCATAAATCTTTTGGAATTGTCTTGGATCATTGGATTGCTAAGAATAGCTAAGTCATTCACAGTTGATCATTGTACAGTATTGCTTTTACTTTGTACAATGTTCTCTTGGTTCTGCTTACTTCACTCAGTATCAGTTCATATTAAGTTTTCCCAGGTTTTTCTGAAACAATTCTGCTTATCATTTCTTATAGCACAATAGTATTCCATCACAATTATATACCAGAACTTGTTCAGCCATACTCTAATTGATGGGCATCCCTTCAATTTCTAATTCTTTGCCACACAAAAAGAGCTGCTGTAAATATTTTTGTACATATATAAGGCCTTTTTTTTTTCTTTGATCTCTTTGGGATATAGACCTAGTACTGACTGGGTCAGAGATTAGGCACAGTTTTATAACCCTTTGAGCATAGTTCCAAATTGTTCTCCAGAATAGTTGGACCAGTTTACAACTCCACCAGCAGTGCATTAGTGTCCCAGTTTTTCCATATCTCCTCCAGCATTTGTCATTGTCCTTCTCTGTCTTGTTAGCTAGTCTGATAGGTATAAAATGGCACATCGGAGTTATTTTAATTTGAATTTGTCTAGTCAGTAGTGATTTAAAGTGTTTTTTCATGCAACTGTGGATAGCTTTGATTTCTTCTGAAAATTTCCTGTTCATATCCTTTGACTATTATCAGTTAATAACTCATTTTTATAAATTTGACTCAGTTCCCTATATATTTGAGAAATGAAGCCTTTATCATAGAAATTTGCTATAAAAATTTTTCCCCAGTTTCCTGCTTTCC